GGAGTGCTCGCATACTAGCGTTGACTCGGGTAGCATTCCGCCGTCGCACCGCGTAGAAAGGAAATTCCAGCAAGGAAGGAATTCGCTTGAATCAATTTGACTATATTCAGGTACAAACAGAGAAGGAATATATAGCTCTAGCTAGCAAGGACCTTGGGAATCAACCTGGGAAGAACCAGGGATGTTCCCAAATAATTCCAAGCAACAGAACCAACCTGGCTGGACAAAACAGCAGGTGGTAGGTTGGTGAACAACCTCTGGTTCTGTTTTTCCAACCTGGGAAAACAACAACCAGGTTCAGGTCCTAAAAACAGAACCTGTTTTGTCTTTGCCCAACCAGCCAAATGCTGGTTCCGCTGGTTTCCCCTGGCCCAGTAGCATGCAGATACTGACAAACAACATCCAACCTTCACCTAAATTGTACCTCTATAGTGCCTGCCCTGCTACACTATAGTCAACCAAACAAAACAGTACAATTTCGAGTTGGATAGAACTGAATCTGCACAATCAATTCAACCGAACCGCAAAGCTTCCATCTTGGGTTCCCTTGCGAGCTCGTCCTTTCTGCTTGTACTGTTCATAGCGCGTACAATGTTGTGCCGAAGCGCATAATGCGCGAGTACCTGCAAATGCTTCAAGCGAAAATTGCGAAAGCAAACAAACACACCAACATTCCATTCACACCCAAATGCATTCGCACACGCATACTCATACAAACAGACGGCAGGATATCGTGCAATGTGAATTTGCACCCTACACACTCCCCCTCAGCCTGCCGGCTGCATCCCCATCATTCTATACTAGTTCATGCTCATTCCACTCATCCGCATACAACGCCAATGAGGCTAATCCGCAAGCCTCTTGGTGAGGAAGTCTGCTGGCTGCTGGTGAGTCTTGAAGTAGATCGGATTCACCGTCCCCCTCTTCACCTCCTTACGCAGCCAGTGCCACTTGATACGCATGTGTTTGTTCAGCCCATGAAGCACAGCGTTCCTGGCCATCCCAAGAGCTCCCTTGCTATCACAAAACAGCGGCGTAGCAACCTTTTGTTCCTGGCCAATCTCCTCTAACAGCCTCCTCAACCAAATCACCGCCTTCACCCCATGAAACATCGCCATGTACTCTGATTCTACAGAAGAGAGTGCTGTCTCCGTCTGCTTCTTTGACCTCCAACTAACAGGTCCTCTTCAAACTACGCAGATATATCCTCCCACAAATGAGAAATCCTCCTTCTCAGAGGCCCACGTAGCATCGGTAAAGCAAGTGAGAAAGAGCTTGCCTTCTCCAAGCCTCTTCCCCTTTTCTTTCAGCATCTCAACCCCTTTCTGCTTCACATGTGCAGATACGGAGTACTGAACTCCAATGCTTGGGTGAGAGTTCAGATACTTCACCACACGCTCAGCTACATCCACCTGCTCCTCTGATGGATTCTGTTAGTGTAAGGGCCTAATAAACTCAAGCTCTTAAGACTTTATCAAACTTAAAACCTCTCCTCGGGGTCACCTCCAAGGGTCCTTGGGTGCCTGGTACAAGACCAGCCCCTATCCTCGGGTCCGAGTTTGTAGAGAGAGGGATCAAGAGGGACTTAGTCAAAACAGCAAGAGTACCTTGAACGTCGCGCAGCGTATCGTGCAGACCGTCGATCGGATTAAGCTGAGAATTTCCTATATCGAAGCTCACTCTAAGAGCTTTAAAATAAGCCAAGTTGCCTCGCGAAAAGTTCTGCCATTACGAACTTATGGCTCGGACAGCGTTAGCCTAGCGTTGGAGTGCTAGCATACTAGCGTTGACTCGGGTAGCATTCCGCCGTCGCACCGCGTAGAAAGGAAATTCCAGCAAAGAAGGAATTCGCTTCAATCAATTTGACTATATTCAGGAACAAACAGAGAAGGAATAAATAGCTCTAGCTAGCAAGGACCTTGGGAATCAACCTGGGAACAACCAGGGATGATCCCAAATAATTCCAAGCAACAGAACCAACCTGGCTGGACAAAATAGCAGGTGGTAGGTTGGTGAACAACCTCTGGTTCTGTTTTTCCAACCTGGGAAAACAACAACCAGGTTCAGGTCCTAAAAAACAGAACCTGTTTTGTCTTTGCCCAACCAGCCAAATGCTGGTTCCACTGGTTTCCCCTGGCCCTGTAACATGCAGATACAGACAAACAACATCCAACCTTCACCTAAATTGTACCCCTATAGTGCCTGCCCTACTACATTATACTCAACCAAACAAAACAGTACAATTTCGAGTTGGATAGAACTGAATCTGCGCAATCAAGTAAGCCGAACCACAAAGCTTCCATCTTGGGTTCCTTTGCGAGCTCGTCCTTTCTGCTTGTACTGTTCATAGCGCGTACAATGTTATGCCGAAGCGCACATTGTGCGAGTACCTGCAAATGCTTCAAGCGAAAATTGCGAAAGCAAACAAACACACGAGCATACCATTCACACGCAAATGCATTCGCACACGCATACTCGTACAAACAGACGGCAGGATGTCGTGCAATGTGAATTTGCACCCAACACACTCCCCCTCAGCCTGCCGGCTGCATCCCCATCATTCCATACTAGTTCATGCTCATTCCACTCATGCGCACAACAACGCCAATGAGGCTCATTTGCAAGCCTCTTGGTGAGGAAGTCTGCTGGCTGCTGGTGAGTCTTGATGTAGATCGGATTCACCGTCCCCCTCTTCACCTCCTTACGCAGCCAGTGCCACTTGATACGCATATGCTTATTGAGCCCATCAAGCACAGTGTTCCTGGCCATCCCAAGAGCTCCCTTGCTATCACAAAACAGCGGCGTAGCAACCTTTTGCTCCTGGCCAATCTCCTCCAACAGCCTCCTCAGCCAAATCACCTTCTCACCCCATGAAACATTGCCATCTACTCTTACTCCACGGAACGAGAGTGCTGTCTCCGTCTGCTTCTTTGACCTCCAACTAACCGGTCCTCCCCCAACTACGCAGATGTATCCTCCCACTGATGAGGAATCCTCCTTCTCAGAGGCCCACGTAGCATCGGTAAAACCAAGTGAGAAAGAGCTTGCCTTCTCCAAGCCTCTCCCCCTTCTCTTTCAGCACTTCAACCCCTTTCTGCTTCACCTGTGCAGATGCGGAGTATTGAACTCCAATGCTTGGGTGAGAGTTCAGATACTTCACCACACGCTCAGCTGCATCCACCTGCTCCTCTGATGGATTCTGCACCACCCTAGCCAGCTGCCCAACCGAGAAAGAGATGTCGGGCCTCGTGTGAACTGCTGCATACAAGAGGCTGCCCACCAAGGACTGAAATTGCTGCTGCTCCTCGGCTTCAACCCCTTCATCCTCTGCAGCTTTCACAAGCTTGAATTCTGCTGGCAGGGGAGTTGCAACCTTGCGCTCATTCTCAATTCCGTACTTCTCCCCAAGCTCCTTGATGAACTTCTCCTGGTGCAGCTTCAACCACCTGTGATCCAGATCCCTCTCCACGTGCATCCCGAGGTAGTACTTTACCTCCCCAAGGTTCTTGCACTTGAAGTTCTCCATCAGCTGCTGCTGCACCTTCTGGATCTCCTTCATGCTGCTGCTAAAGAGAAGAATGTCGTCCACATAGACCAGAAACAGCACCAGCTTCTCCCCCTCCCCCTTGAGAAAGAGGCTCTCATCACAGCTGCTGGTCCTGAATCCCACCTCCTCTAAAACAGCTGCCAACTTCTGGTACCAGCAGCGTGGCGCCTGCTTCAAGCCGTAGATGGACTTTTTCAGCTTGCACACCCTGCCCGTACCATCCTCATATCCACGCGGCTGCGTCATGAACACCTCCTCCTCTAAAATCCCATTGAGGAATGCCGTAGATATATCCATCTAAATGATGAATTTCCCACTAGCGAGTGCATCTGCCAACAAGACACGAAGGGTAGGGGGTTTGGCAGTGGGAGCAAAGATCTCATTGAAGTCCCGCTTCTCCTTTGCATAAACCCCTTAGCCACCAGCCTACTCTTGTAGATGGTTACCTGTCCCTTGTTATCGGTGTTGATCCTTAGCACCCACTTGCACTCTATGGCTTTCTTCCCCTCAGGCAGCACCACCAGCTCCCATGTCCCATTCTCTAGCAGGCTCTTGTACTCAGCATCCCTGGAAACCAGCCACTTCTCCCTATCTGGGCCAGCTAATGCCTCCTCCATGCTAGCTTGTTCCTCTGGTGCAGGGGCAAGAAAACAGTAGGCAGGTTCATCCTCCTCATCCAGATCATAGCCATGCGGTAGAATCAGCAATGCCTCCTCGGTCCCAATGATAGAAGTACCAGATGTTCGGCAGATGCACAATGATGAGGTTTTAGTATGCGGGCAGCGCGAGGGAAGAAAAGCGATGAGGTTTTCAACTCCTGATAGAAGTACTGACGTGCACGTAAAAGTTCCGTACTTTATGCTGAAATTCAGGATGTGAAGACTCAAATTGGTCACGTATGTGTGACGTGGCACGATCAGCGCGGCCTTTACTCCGACGTGATTCGCAGCGAGTGGTGGTGTACTGACGTGGACGAAGATGCGGAAGATGCTTGGCAAGTCGGACAAGGCCAAGCGTGCGGACACAGCGAGAGGCAAGACATTCTTACTGAGAACTGCAGTTCAGTACTTTGCTCAACGCCTAGCGATGCCAAGACATCCTTTTTTTTCGCGACGCCTCGAAACTTCGCGAATGTCTCCGGCGATTCGCGCGCCTTCCGCACGCCCTCGTCGCCCGCAATTTGTCGGCTCGTTCCGCTCTTTCCGGCTTCTGTATTTCCTCCTCATTGTGTATCTTGCTCTCAAGTATCTCTGCCTCCAACGCTGCTCCTCCCCCTCTTTCTCCCCAGAATCGCCTTGTTCCTTAACACCCCCCACCCTTTCCCCTCCTCCCCCCCCCTTCCCCTCAGCCGCCCCCATCCAGGGCGCCTGCGTGCGGTTTTCCCTGGCGGACATGTTAACCGCGACGAACCGCTGGGCACTGCAGTTGCTGGTGGGCGACGGGTACCCGCCTCATGTTCAGGGGCGTGGACCCGCGCGACGGCGCCACCCCGTGGCTCCTCAAGCGCTGCCGCGCGCGCGAGTTCGACGAGTTCCACGCGGAGGTGCGAGGGGGGGATGAGGAGAGGAGGGGGGGGGGGGGGGAGTGGTGGGGGTGTTGGGGAAAGGGGACGATAGAAGAATGTGGTGCTGGAGATCGGAGAGAGGAGAGATGATGGGGAGGAGAGGGGGAAGGTGCAACAGGCAGAGGTGAAGGGAGGAGAGAGAATGAAAGTGAAGGGCTGAGATCCTGCAACCTCCTCAACTGGGCCGCTCAAAATTATAGTTATTGGATTGTGCTGGTTCACCCACAGAACCCACGCGCTCACACATTTCCCATGGGAATCAGCTCTGCATTGTCGCCTCGTGCCCCACTGGAAGCCCGTCTGATACTGTCATACTGCCACATTACCAGCCCAGTCTGTGGAGCCGATGCAGGCGAAGGAGGAAAGTACACGTTTGAAGAACTGCTTCCTCCCCTCGTCTTACCCTCTCCCTCCCATCCCACCCGTCCCCCACCCTTCCTTCTCCGCCCTCCACCCTTCCTTCTCCGCCCTCCCCCCCTGGCGTGCCTTCCCCGCCCCCTTCCCCCTGGCGTGCCTCCCCCCCCCCCCCCCTCCCCCTGGCGTGCCTCCTCCCTCCCCCCCCCCGCCCCCTGGCGTGCCTTCCCCGCCCCCCTCCCCCTGGCGTGCGCGCCATCAAGGGGCAAGCAGGTGACGGAGATGGGCAACAAGAACCACCCCCAACCTGGTGCGGCTGCTGGGGTACTGCGACGAGCAAGACAAGCAGGGCCGGTGGGAGAAGGTCGTGGTGTATGAATCCATGCCTGCTGGCAGCCTGCTCGACCAGTTTCAACCGGGTGGGTCACGCATGCCGCATCACACACACACCTCTCGTTCTCACTGAGTCCACGTCCCAGTAATCACAGTAGGTGCCCATGCCAATTCCAAATATGCAGGTGCTTGCCTGTTCTTCCTTTCCCCCGCTCTGGTCCTCGCTGCGTGTACTCCTTTTGTGCGTTTGGCCCTACTGTGTCTGCTTGCATGACATCTGTCCATCGCATGCGTTTTATTCCGTTACGTTGGTCCATGATTTCTACCCTACAGTGTATTCTTTCTCTTGCCCTTGCAGGTTGCAGCGGCGTGCCTTTGACCCTGCAGCAGCGGCTGGGCATTCTCATAGGAGTGGCGCACGGGTTGGAGTATCTGCACAGCTTTGGCATCTTGCATCGCTGCCTTTGCCTTAGAAGCGTTTTTCTGGATGGCAGCATGCAGGTGAGTGTGTGTGCTGTGAGGCCACCATCCTCCACACGTTATCACACGACTCGCAAACATGCTGCACACTCATGTCGTGTTGTGGAGCAGAGCAAGATCCATAAAGGACCACTGGGTTACCCCCCTGCGCCATTATTCTGATGCTGTACCAAGCGATTCTCTGTCTCCCTCTACCCCCCCCCTCCTGCCCGGCCACGCAACATGAGGCCATCCCGCACGTCACTGTACCACCCTTGTCCCATAAAACGCCATGGCAAGGCGAAGATTGCAGGGTTTGACTATGTGACACGCGGGGCTGCAGGGGGTGGCGAGCATGCAGTGGTGGGCGTGCGTGGGTACGTGGATCCGCAGCTGCTGCTACTCTCCAGAAGCACACACCCACTAATGACCTCTACAGGTTCCAACCCAATCTTTCTCAACTCTCTCCTTTGATTCTCTCATGCCGAGTGCACGCACGGGGAGGCTGGTTAGTTTGTTGCTCCCAGTGCCATGCTCTATTCTCAACTCTTCGAGAGTCTGTGCTGCCCCTCCCACCCTCATTCCTTCTCCATCCCTCCCTTCGCCCCTGCATGCGGCTCCCTTCCTCCCCTTTCGTCCTGCCCTTCCCCTTCCTCCCACCCATCCCTGCTGTTCCGCTACATCAGCTCCTGCAGTCAGCTTCTTAGTGGCCATACGGGTATGTCCTGGCCTGGAGACGGGTGTCTCCCATCCCTTCATAAAAACACCCTTCGGCTTTTTAGTTTTTTCCTGCTGCTGCTCTCCTCCCTCGGATCCAGCAGCTCCACTAGTGCTACCGCTAGTCTCCACACCATCACCTCCACCAACAGGTGCCTCCTGCACCTTCTCTCCATCACCACCCTCTGCAGCTACCTCCTCTCCCTTCTCCCACACACTAGGAGTCAGGTCCAGCTGCATGGTGATCTGCTCCATCTGCTGGGACACCCTGGCCTCCGGCTGTTTCTCCCAGCTGCCATACATCATGCCCTCAACAAACTTCACATCCCTGCTGTCAAACAACACACCCTTGGAAGGTTCCCATAGCAGCCATCCCTTGCTCTCAGCAGCTAGCCCCAAATGCACACACCAGATTGCACTTGCCCCCAACTTACTGCGGTAGGTCTTGGGGACGTGGGCGACTGCCATGCAACCGAACACCCTCAGCATCTCCACCGGCGGCTTCCTCCCAAGCCACCTCTCCAACGGCACCCACGAGTCATCCCCAACCTTGGTGAGTACCCTGTTCCTAGCGACGGTAGCGTGCCGAACAGCATGGGGCCACATGGAGTTGCCCAGCCCAGATTCTATGAGCAGCGCCCTAGCTGTCTCCAGAATTGTCCGGTTCGCCCGTTCTGCTACACCGTTAGACTGTGGGGTGTAAGCCATGGTCAGCTCCCTCTGGATGCCCTGCTTCTTGAGCCAGGCCGTCATCTCAGCTCCAAGAAACTCACCACCCCGATCTGTCCTAATCCGCTTCACGACACACTCTATTTGCTTCTCCACGAATGGCAGCCAATCTTCCCGTATCGTAGAGGCGCCATGGTCCTTCTGCTTCAACGGATATGCCCACATAAGCCTGCTCCAATCATCCATTATGGTCAGAAAGTACCGCTCCCCCCTTGTTGTTGGTGTAAGGGCCTAATAAACTCAAGCTATTAAGACTTTATCACCCTTAAAACCTCTCCTCGGGGTCACCTCCAAGGGTCCTTGGGTGCCTGGTACAAGACCAGCCCCTATCCTCGGGTCCGAGTTTGTAGAGAGAGGGATCAAGAGGGACTTACTCAAAACAGCAAGAGTACCTTGAACGTCGCGCAGCGTATCGTGCAGACCGTTGATCGGATTAAGCTGAGAATTTCCTATATCGAAGCTCACTCTAAGAGCTTTAAAATAATCCAAGTTGCCTCGCGAAAAGTTCTGCCATTACGAAGTTATGGCTCGGACAGCGTTTGTCTAGCGTTGGAGTGCTAGCGTACTAGCGTTGACTCGGGTAGCATTCTGCCGTCGCACCGCGTAGAAACGAAATTCCAGGAAGGGAGGAATTCGCTTGAATCAATTTCACAATATTGAGGTACAAACAGAGAAGGAATAAATAGCTCTAGCTAGCAAGGACCTTGGGAATCAACCTGGGAACAACCAGGGATGATCCCAAGCAACAGAACCAACCTGGCTGGACAAAATAGCAGGTGGTAGGTTGGTGAACAACCTCTGGTTCTGTTTTTCCAACCTGGGAAAACAACAACCAGGTTCAGGTCCTAAAAACAGAACCTGTTTTGTCTTTGCCCAACCAGCCAAATGCTGGTTCCGCTGGTTTCCCCTGGCCCTGTAGCATGCAGATACAGACAAACAACATCCAACCTTCACCTAAATTGTACCCCTATAGTGCCTGCCCTGCTACACTATAGTCAACCAAACAAAACAGTACAATTTCGAGTTGGATAGAACTGAATCTGCGCAATCAAGTAAGACGAACCGCAAAGCTTCCATCTTGGGTTCCTTTGCGAGCTCGTCCTTTCTGCTTGTACTGTTCATTGCGCGTACGATGTTATGCCGAAGCGCACATTATGCGAGTACCTGCAAATGCTTCAAGCGAAAATTGCGAAAGCAAACAAACACACGAACATACCATTCACACGCAAATGCATTCGCACACGCATACTCGTACAAACAGACGGCAGGATATCGTGCAATGTGAATTTGCACCCAACACACTCCCCCTCAGCCTGCCGGCTGCATCCCCATCATTCCATACTAATTCATGCTCATTCCACTCATGCGCACACAACGCCAATGAGGCTCATCCGCAAGCCTCTTGGTGAGGAAGTCTGCTGGCCGCTGGTGAGACTTGATGTAGATCGGATTCACCGTCCCCCTCTTCACCTCCTTACGCAGCCAGTGCCACTTGATACGCATGTGCTTATTGAGCCCATGAAGCACAGCGTTCCTGGCCATCCCAAGAGCTCTCTTGCTATCACAAAACAGCAGTGTAGCAACCTTTTGCTCCTGGCCAATCTCCTCCAACAGCCTCCTCAGCCAAATCACCTCTTTCATCCCATGAAACATTGCCATATACTCCGACTCCATGGAAGAGAGTGCTGTCTCCGTCTGCTTCTTTGACCTCCAGCTAACAGGTCCTCCTCCAACTACGCAGATGTATCCTCCCACAGATGAGGAATCCTCCTTCTCAGAGGCCCACGTAGCATCGGTAAAGCAAGTGAGAAAAAGCTTGCCTTCTCCAAACCTCTCCCCCTTCTCTTTCAGCATCTCAACCCCTTTCTGCTTCACCTGTGCAGATGCGGAGTATTGAACTCCAATGCTTGGGTGAGAGTTCAGATACTTCACCACACGCTCAGCTGCATCCACCTGCTCCTCTGATGGATTCTGCACCACCCTAGCCAGCTGCCCAACCGAGAGAGAGATGTCGGGCCTCGTGTGAACTGCTGCATACAAGAGGCTGCCCACCAAGGACTGAAATTGTTGCTGCTCCTCGGCTTCAACCTCTTTATCCTCTGCAGCTTTCACGAGCTTGAATTCTGCTGGCTGGGGAGTTGCAAACCTTGCGCTCATTCTCAATCCCATACTTATCTCAATTCTTTGCACCGCGTCCAGCACCACCGAAGCCACGTCCTTTGCCACATCGGCTCCCTTGCATCCCGTAGCCGCTGCTGCCGTCGTGTCTACCCCTCAGTTGGCGGCGACGGAAGTCCTCCTCCAGAATCTTCGTCCGCACCCACTGGAGCGTCCACAAGCTCTGGTTCTGCGGCAGGCTCAATCCGCTCGTGAATTGAAGCCACGATTCCGGCAGCAGCGAGAGCATCTTCAGGCACTTGGTCTGCTCTGGGTAGGTGATTCCCGCGATCGCCAGCTTCGCGTAGAGATCACGCATCTTGTCCAGGATGGGTTGCAGGCTGGAGAGGGGTCTGCATCCCAGGGGGAGTGCAATGCCGTTGGATGGGTTGGTGTGAAAGTGTCGGCCAGATCTGGGGAGACTGATTGGGCAACGGCACACCGACGCTTGGGGCATGTGGCAATGCTCTTATTGAAGCAATTGGAGAAAGATGGAGCTGTTAAGGGCCTGAAGCTGAACGGACAGCCACCTGATGAGAATTCTGAAATCTGTTTAATCTCAAAGTTTACCCGTTTCCCCTTCCATAGTGTGGCTGGCAGGAGCAAGAAGCCGTTGGAGCTGGTCCACATGGACTTAGTGGGGCCGCTGCCGGTTCAGGGTCACAAGTGTTGGGTGCAAATTCACATTGCACGACATCCTGCCGTCTGTTTGTACGAGTATGCGTGTGCGAATGCATTTGCGTGTGAATGGTATGTTCGTGTGTTTGTTTGCTTTCGCAATTTTCGCTTGAAGCATTTGCAGGTACTCGCACAATGTGCGCTTCGGCATAACATTGTACGCGCTATGAACAGTACAAGCAGAAAGGATGAGCTTGCAAAGGAACCCAAGATGGAAGCTTTGCGGTTCGGCTTACTTGATTGCGCAGATTCAGTTCTATCCAACTCGAAATTGTACTGTTTTGTTTGGTTGACTATAGTGTAGC